CGTTAATTTCTATATCGTTTATATGCTTTAAGAGTGATTAGTTGATTGCAGTTGTTAAATTAGCGTGTGGCTGTTGCTGTGTTTGAAATAAATAAAGACATGAAAAGGATAATTGGAGCGTGGTTTTGGATAAAGTGAATGTTTCCTAGGCATTGATCGGCTTATAAAAATTTTTAAACTTGCGTTGGTGATGTTCAAACATGACTGGGAAACTTGGCTTAAAGATTATATTTTTTTTGTTTGTGTTGCTAGTCTCGTACTGTTGGGGCTCAATACCAAGATAACGAGACAGGATTGATTCATGTAGGATTTTGGATATGTGGAATAGTTATTTATGTAGGACAAGGAGGCCAAAAAATGGGTTAGAAGACTGTTTAGATATCTACTGGATAAATGGTGAAATGGTTCTGAAGGATTGCCCAGAGCGCAGAAGCAGTTCTTTCTCGATAATACAATATGTTGACCTCATGCTCTGTGGATATTTTTGACATTTTTTATCTTATGGCAATAGCTTACCATGCATAAATGGTGAAAGCATTACTGATGCTGTTTTAGAAAGTTTCGTGTTGGATGAGCTTAGCTGTATTAATTTGATATTTTTTATCAAGTCTGAAATTCCACCACTATGAGAGGTAATTGATTATAAACCTTGTTCATGCTCTCAATGGAGGATAACATTTCCCAGAAAGGGATGAGACAAACAGTTCACTTTTACTCCTGATTATTGGCAAGTGCAGTATGGTACAGGTCTAGCTCGAATGAAGCATCAAAAAGTGGTTTATTTGGTAGAATTCTTGAATCTAGAATCTGTTTAATTAAACCATGTTTAAGAGGGGAGTTGGTTGTCTTCTAACTTTGCTTAACCAGAGCTTGAGTTTATCTAATCTCTTGCAAGGATTTTCTGGCTTAATTTGTTAGTGCTCAATCTAAATTCAGCCTCAGATCACCCAAATTAGACAATAACATATTTTCTGAGTTCAATGTTAAAATACTTCAGTTGCTTTGAAGTTGTATGGTTGTTGATTTTACAAGCTATCAATCAACATCCTTAGGATTTTGTGGCCTTTATAGCCATCTAGAGTGAATCTCAAAGTTTTTCTGGGTTCCTGAACCTGATTTATCTGAATCGTCCTTGACCACTTCACAACCTGTATCAATCTGAGCTTGGGGTTGATCATTCTCAGATAGCTCCCAGAACTGGGTTTAGTAAAACTCATTTGATTGTTGTATGTCTCTTAAAAAGACGTGATGAAGGAGCAAATTGCTCAACTGCAGTATATGGGAAAACTCTTACTGTTCTTTAAGTTTTTGCCTGAGCTTTATAGTTTAGATCCTTGAATTGTGAAAACAAGCACAATTATCTGTAATTTGGTAAATCCGCCTCTGCTGCTCAAGATGGCAACTCAATGATAAAAGCACTAACTTTCTGGAACATTAGGTTTGTTATTTCAAGTTTGCAAGAGTTAATTTACCAATTTTCTCTTCTAATGCCAAATGCCTTGTATTTGAAAAATTGGGCACAGGCAAGGTGTTCAGATCAGATTCCTTTCTGTCAGCACATGCATATCTGTCTAGTGAAAGGGAAGTGAGTTTCTGACTGCTTTTGAAAATTGTTTGCAGGGTTTATGATCAAATGCCTGAGCCTAGGTGGGTTATCTCCATGGGCAGCTGTGCAAATGGTGGTGGATATTACCATTATTCGTACTCTGTTGTTCGTGGTTGTGACAGGATTGTCCCTGTTGACATTTATGTTCCAGGATGCCCACCCACTGCTGAGGCCCTACTTTATGGATTACTCCAGCTGCAGAAAAAGATCCACAGGCGCAAGGACTTCCTCCATTGGTGGACCAGATAAGTGGAAGCCTTGGCTGCATTTTTATGATCTAATAAAAGAAATGGTATCTGTTTCCTGTTCTAAGTGCTGTGTGAAGGGAGAGGCTGTTATTAATACACTCCTTATGGATCCATCTCCTATATTCTCTGGAGCTCTTATTGTTTTTACAGATTCTCTAAAACCTTTTTTTGTAACTTCGATGTGCTGAACTGCCCTTTAGTTGTTTTGCTTGTATGTGTACTTCTCTGAAAGCTGTATTGTTCTGATAACCTGTGGACTAAATAAAGGGCTTGTGTAAAGCTACTCTTTTCATGCGTGCTCCTGGACTTCTGAGTCTCGGCAGTGGCTTATTTGGTCTTGTTGCTTCTAAGTATATAATTTACCCATGAACTGTTGCTGGAAAAATTGTTTACTGATGTTGCCCAGTTGGTAGATATTGGGTGGGCAGCTCTTGACCGTGCTTGCCCAAAGTGAAGTCCTAAGCTAATGCGCACTTTGATATGTATGAGGGTGCCTTTCTTCAACATCTGATGAGTAGAGTTACATGTAAACTAACTAATTCTACGTGGCAATTATGAAAGACCTCCGAGGGAGAATACAGGCTCCCCGTTATATGACATTTGGTACCGGGAAGTGAAAGACATACCTATTTTGAGCATCTCTGCTAAAAAAATGAGGTTTTGCGGTGTAGATTTCGCCAGGATAATCATGAAAAGTTCAATGGATTTGTTGAGACTGGTTCAACTTTCGAGGAGGATAAATGACAAAGCAAAACACAGGTAGGGGAGTAACCATGTAATGTTTTGGGAGGACATGATCTCGCCTGACAGGTAAGGCAATAGATCTGCACAGGTGTGAAGAGGCTTCGAGGCTCTAGCCGTTACTGGATTATTAAAGAGGGTTAAACAAACCTCACTGGATCCAAGCCATCGCTGAAAGTTAAGGAAGTGCAACACTGGAAGCTCGCAGACACGTATAATAAGTCCTTTGTGGAGATTTAGGGACCCATGAAATGCACAGCTCGCATGGAGAATATGATATATCTGGGAAATGACCTGGTTTATAAGCATTATTTAGAAATAATAATATCAGGTGGCCTTACTTTAACACCATTTTCTAAGCCCAACTATAATGGGGGAGTCATGTTAACATTTAATGTTAGGCTGTATAGAGCTATACAAGGCAAGTATATAAAATTGAGGAGTGTAACTCAACCGATTATATGTTTGTTTGTTTTTTTAAAGGTTATTAATTTGAATTTTATAAACTTTAAGGTTATTAAAACTTATATAATTATTAATTTTAAAGTTTATAGAATTAGTTAGAATAAATACAAGCGAATCCGGATAGCACTTTAATATATATATATATTATTGGGTTTGAGTGTTTTGTGCCCTGATATGATAGTTTTGTATCCAGGCTTACCCACCCAGCATTAACCCGAGTCTAAACAAGGGTTGTAATGGGTTCGGTGAACCAATCAATTTCCTTGTAAGTGGTGCCAATCAGGTGAACAAGGTCACCTTAACTTTTGTGTTGGCTGGGTTAGTTAAGTTACAGTGAGGACCATTTTTTCTACAGCAATGTTTAGAGTCTAGTTATTTTTTTGAAAAAATATTTTTGAAAAAATTGAATTTTATTTTTAGGTGATTTTAATGTTATTGTGTTAATAATAAATTTTAAAAATAATAAATTTATTTAAATATATTTTTAAATAAAAAAATATTTTTAAAAAATAACAAATATTACAGTATCAAATTAAATCTTATCCTAACATGTTGTATGGCCCTCAGATGCCTCAGCTAGCGATCTTGATGAACTTGCCTTGTGTCTCGTGCCAAGACCTGGTGATGGAGGAGGCAAATCCCCCCACCCAGGCACTATCATGAGTCTGCTGGTACGTTCGGTTTGGTCTTTTAAAAAAGGTGCCAGTGAATATTTGAGAATTATGTGTTTTTTTTTAAATTTATTTTTTTTAAATGTATTTTTTTAAAAAATATTTTTAATACCAACACTTTAAAACAATTAAAAAATACTAAAAATAATTTAAAATAATATAAATAAAATAAATTTTGATAAAAATAAGATTTAATTTCAATACCAAACACCTCCACAAGTCCACGCCCACAAATTATTCTTGTGCCATATGCGATCATGGAAAATGCATATACTAAATTGTATCAGATTCCACTAATGATAGCATATGCTAATTTGTTCGATGGTGACGGTGCAGAATGAAAGCTTATACTATAGGTTCACCGTCCTTTTTAATCTAAAAAAAGCTTTAAAATTCCTGTTTTTCCATGGCATTTCTAGGCTTGCCTATATTTTTGTCTTTTCACTTCTACATCCACGTGTTAGAATTTTCCAGCGTTACTTGTATAATTCTTTTAAAATCTTTATTTATTCTTTATAACTAAATAAATTAAATATAAGCTGGTTTTTTATATTTTATTTTATTTTTTCTTAATCTCTTTCATATTTCCTCTCAGATCCCAAAACTATTATAATATATCATATGAACACTTAAGAATCAAAAAAGAAAAAAAGAGCTCAGAAATCCAATTCAAAAGGTAGGCTATTTAATGACTAGGGGCAAAATTGAAGCTTTCTTAAAACTAGAAGCGGTAACACTAGAACATCAAAACTGAAGAGATAGAAGTGAAATATTGGGGCAAAAATAAAGTCCACCCTTTTTCTTTTGCTAATTGCACAAAGTATTGCTTCAGTGGACTGGCTTCGACGCTGTTAGGTTATTAAGCCTTTTTTATTAGGCCCGTTTATTTATTTTTTCTTTGAAATGCGCTTTTTAAATAAATTATTATTTTATTTTATTTCAAATTAATATATTTTTAGTATTTTATATCATTTTAACATAATTATATCAAAAATAATTTTTTAAAATAAACCAAATTCGCAAACAGTATTACAAGCGGCGTCAAATCTCATAAGGCCGCCTTATTCGGCCTCCTCGAGTCTGATAATCCTGAAAAAAGAAGAAGCAAAAATACAGAATTAAAAGCTCGCCCAAAATTCTAATCAAGGATCCGCTAGCCGAGAGGACCATCCACAAGACTTAGAGCACACCCAACCAAAAGACAATCTGTCCACACACTATAATAATATCCAAAAGATCACGTGCACCACCACCTCCCGTATAAAAACTCGATTCCTCCCTCCTACATCACCCGATCAATCTCTCATCTCTCAATCCCCTAGGGTTTCTTTCAATAATGGCAGACGAATCTCAATACTCGACGGCCACTGACACCACACCACCATCATCCAACAAACGCAAATATGATGACCAATCAGCACCGCCTCCGTCGACACGTAGGCAAACTGGATTCTCATCTCCGATTTCTGACCCCGCTCCACCTCCATCTTACAACAGCGTGGCGCCGCCTGCTGACGAGATCCAGATGGCTAAACAGAAAGCTCAGGAGATCGCCGCCCGTATAATGAGTGGTGCTGGTGCTGATATTAAGCGACCCAGGGCTGAAAACGGTGCGAGTGGGTTTGATTCCAGTGAGAATAACAAGGGATTCAGCTCTGCTCCTCTAGGTTCCATCTCTCTTGATTTATCTTTTTTGAATATTCTCTTTCGAGCTGCTCTTTATGTATTTGTATGTATATGTATTTGTGGATCTGTGCGCTTTCATCTTACTTAATTATTTGAATTTTACGCTCCTGAGTTTTTAATTGTTTTTATTGTATTTCTTATATGAACCTCTGTTTTCAATGTTTTTAGGACTTTGATTTGATTTATTTTTATAATACTGTTTCTGTTGGCTGTTTATGCAAGTATCGTTGTTAGGGTTTTGTTGTTCTGGAGTTTTGGTGTTTTTTATACTCTATGCCTTTGGATTTCATCCGTTGTGTGGCGTTGATTCTCTTTGATTATGTAAAATCTAAAAAACATAGCTAATGGGTGTTTCTATTTAGCTAAGATGCTGTAGGTATATATAATGGTTGCTTATGTAAGTATATTTTAGCCAGGGTCTCTCTCTTTTTTTCCGGTTTCTGACGCTCATGGAAATATTGTGTTTTTTGTTGATATTTACTGTTTGTAGTAGAGATCTCTTATTTGTGGTCGCCAACTTGATTTTCATTCCTTTTTCTCAGGTTCATTCTTTTTTTAGCTGTATAGTAAGCAACTCAAGATGAAATTTAGGTTTGATTTGGAACTTAAACTAACTTCTTTGTTTGACAACAGATATGAAGTCTACCATGTCAAACTCAGCCCCTTCATCAATTCCAGTTTCATATGGCTCATACCTGGGTGGTTCTGGTTCAAGTAAAAAAATTGATATTCCTCAAGGCAGGGTTGGTGTTATCATTGGTAAAGGTGGAGAGACTATCAAATACCTTCAGCTTCAGTCTGGAGCAAAAATTCAGGTCACTCGAGATATGGATGCAGATCCCAACTCCCCAACCAGGATGGTTGAGCTTATGGGCACTCCTGAACAAATTGCCAAGGCAGAGCAGTTGATTAATGATGTCCTGGCAGAGGTAGGCACCTGACTTTGTATTCGAACTTGTATGTGCTGCTGTGGCTGGTATAATCATTCATGCTTTTCGGACACATGGGATAGTTAAGTGATTTTAGGTTTTAGTGATAATCAATTGATACCATGCATTTTTAGATGCGTGTATTTTAGGTTTTTTTTTCATTGATGATTTATCAAGGTGCACATTAGTGGCTGACTCATGCTTTATATGTTATTTTTCCAGTGAGTTTTTTCATCATACAACTATATTTTTTTTAATTTGATTTTAAATTTTTTAGGGTACTTATAGTGGTGAATGTTTTGCTGTCCAGGCTGAGGCAGGGGGTTCTGGTACAGTTTCCCAAAGGTTTTCAGGTCACGGTGGTTCTGAACATTTTGCAATGAAGATTCCCAACAACAAGGTCTGTGAACGTTTAGCAATGAACATTTTTGTTTCTATTCTGGGTGGTTTGGTTCAGGATAGTTTGTGATTCACAATGAATTCAGGTTGGTCTGGTTATTGGCAAAGGTGGTGAAACAATTAAGAATATGCAAGCTAGGTCTGGAGCCCGTATTCAGGTTTGTTTTCTGAATCACATCTTCACCCTTTTTTCTTTTATAGAAACCATCTTCACATCTTTTGATTTCATCATTGTTCTTCGTGAGAGGTATCTCTCTTGAAGTATGCTCTACTTTAGTGAATGGTAAATTGGTTATTTTTCATGCTGTCTATTATTCTTCTTGAGTAAAGTTCTCAGTTGTCATTTACTCAGCTCGTTATTTCTGAACTTCTGCAGGTTATACCTTTGCATCTGCCCCCAGGTGATACATCTGCCGAAAGAACAGTTCACATAGAGGGCACCAGTGAGCAGGTTGAGACTGCAAAACAGTTGGTTAATGAAGTCACCAGTGAGGTATGTTTGGCTGTTGATGCTAGTTTGCAGAGTTGGCCCCGAGGAACTCCCAAGTTTTGTTGTTTTGGAACATTAACCTTTCAGGAAACAGTTCCATATGCATGCCTATAACTTTTTTTTTTGATAGCTGCTTCTCTTTGATTATTTTGTAGGGTTAGTGATTTGGTTGTGAACATGTGATGTGTGTATATATATATATATAATTCTGATAGCTGTGCCATTCTTTCTGACAATATAGTTTCTTAATCATGATATAAATTTTTTTTATGTACATTTCTGTTCATGCTGTTCATGTGGTGAGAAATTGTGGAAGTCAATGTTGCTCTCTTTTATTGTGCTACTTTAGGGTTGGGTATATTTTTCAGATTGGTCTGTGTATATTGTATGTTCCAGTGCAGGTTACAAGGGGATTCTTACTGTTTTTCTGGTAAAATATCTCGTATAGATCATTTTTTGGCTTTTTTTAATTATATTATACATTGTTCTAGAAATATTTCTAAACATCTTTTGGATATCTTCAAGTTCATAATACAGTCTGGGTTTTGCAATTCTCTTTTGTTTCTTCACAAGTCAAATAGTTTTTGCTTTGCTATACACTTTCTAATTGTTTTTCTATTTATTTCTTATGCATTTCATTGGAGAATCTGCTTTAGTCTTGTTGTATTTAGCTAGGCTGTTTTCTGAGCTCTTCAATTAATATTTCATTATGAGCTTGGACCATAAATCAAATATTTATCCTTGTGTTGTCCAAGGAACTCTGACCGCTTTTATAATGAATTTTGTCTTTCCTTTTCCTTTACAAATTTCATAGGACGAAGCTGGTTTAACTTTTCTTCAAAGTCAAATCAAATTTCATAGATATGTTTGTTTCTCTTATCCTATTGTTATGCTGAATACCTATGAGCCCTGGTTATTGGACATAATCATATAAATTGTTATTATTCACTTATTGAATTATCAAGATTCAGATTTGCAGGCTGCTTTTGCTTGCACCTCATGGCATGTATATGCTTAGCTGATGTTTTTTTTCTTTTGCCTTTGGCAATCTGAGCTCGCGGAGAAGAGTGTTGACTGTGCAATGCTAATTATTGTGGTGGATGCTATTCGCTTGTTTATTAATATTTTGCTGGTTTATAGTTCGCTTAGGAATTGGATGGAATTTAAATTGTACCCCTCTATACATCTGGATTTCTCATAGATCAACTTGATAGAAAAACTATAAACGCTGTTTTCTGGTTGCAACTGCATCAGTTTCTTGTATAATTGCAGTTAGTGTCTCCTTACTAAATCTCTTGAGGTGGATGGTGGATATATGGTTTAAGGATATGGTTAAAAGTGCCAAGTTGTTATTGAGAGTGATTACAACTGTCATGAAGTTGGTAGGACTTTGTTGATCTATTGAATCTTCAGTGATACAAGTTCTCATACCTCTCCTGCTTAGGTTGGTAAGCACTGTAAAAGCTTCTTTAGCCAATGATTATTTGAGAAAAATATTTGGTCATTCATGGTTGTGTTCCCGAGTGAATGGTTCTTGGATATAGCTTGTTCTGCCGCCATATGTGCTTATTGATTGTGTCATATGACTGATATTATTATTGGGAACTATTGTAGGGTTAGTGTTGTTGGAATTTTGGTGACACCAACATAAATTCCCTTGTGTTGGTGTTTCCCTCGGCATTGCCCTGGTATGGTTCTGAATCCTGTTTTCTAATATTTAGTAAATGATATTTATGGAGAGGAGCTGAAAGTTTACTTGTGATGGAGATGTTCCTTTAGCTTGGATAACTTGGTGTTGGATCATGAGCCTTTGGGGTAATTTCATTTGTTAAAGATTTTCCTCTGATATCCGGTTGAGTTTTTGACGTCAAGGTTATTATGGAAATAACTGTTATGTCACCTTTGGTAGTTTGGACTTCTCTTTTTAAAAAATGAAGCTCGAAGATATTAAATGTTTAATTTGTCGATCTTTTCATCTGAGTTTAAAACTGTTTTAGTGGGTTTCGTTGGCAGTTCTTATGAATTTGTTTCTGTTTTCAATAATGTTATTGGTAAAAGTCCCTAACAATTAACAATCAAGTTCTCTATCAAGTTGCATACCATTATATTTTTTTATTCTTGCTTTTCCAATGTGGATTCCAATCTCTGTTGGTGCCCCCCTTATTCAAGGGTATTAGGTTGTTGAAGAATTATAAAGGTTGATATCACATTTATTCATTCTATTGCTCTTTGCTATTTCATGCAGAAGTGTTGTCTCCATCCGTCTATCCTGCTTTCCTTTCTTGTATTCTTCTGGAGTGATTCACATGCATTCAGCTTGCAATATGTTTGTCTTGTTGTCAAGGGCCTTGTGGTGAAGCTAATTAGACAGCTTTCTAATAAGCATTTTCCTTTAGGTTGATAGCCATATGCAGTTACTGAACTATAGAATCACCATGATATCCTTGCATTTTCTATTCAATGGTTCCCTGAAAGATGGTACTGTTATATTACTGAAATCTTGTAAGTTTCATTTAAATCAATTGATGCATCATTAATGAGACTCTGTCCAGTTTCCATAGATAGGGTCTTTCAGGATGCATATCAATAAGTATGCATCTCTCTTCCTTTTTGTGGTATAGCTTGTATGGTATTTGTGGATTTTGTTGTACCCATTCACTTCAAGTAGGGTGAGGTTGAGCTTCTGCTGGAGTAACTCAGTAATTCCTCCATCCAAGTACGGTATGTAGGCATTCATACCTCTTCCTGGTAAAATATGAGATCCATTCATCCCTGAATTGGCCCTATTTGTTTAGTTATGTTTATGCATATTTTTATATTTTTCTCATTTTACTTGTTTCATGTTTTATCTGTACATGCACAACAAATTTTCTCATTTTAGTTGTTTTCATGTTCATATAAAAGATGTTTATATTTGTACCCATCCTGTATCTTGAAATATGTGGTTTGAAATGTGTTTTGTTTTTCAAGTTCCCTAGGGTTATATGAAACGTCTATTTTCTGCAGAATCGTATGAGGAATCCAAACATGGGTGGAGGTTATCCCCAGCAAGGATATCAAGCTCGGCCACCTACAAACTGGGGTCCATCTTCTGCTCCACCAATGCAGCAAGCTGGCTATGGCTACATGCAGACTGGAGCATACCCTGGCGCATCAGCACAGTATAACATGTCTCAGCCGGCTTATCAAGGCTATCCTCCACAACAGCCATCTGGTGGATACCCCTCTAACTGGGACCAGTCAGCTGTCTCAGCAAATCATCAAAATCAAGTTTATGATTACTATAGTCAGCCACCTTCATCTCAGCAACAGACACCTGGTGCTTCTGCAGCTCCGGCGGACAGCACTGGTTATAATTACAGTCAGGCACCAGCTTCTGGTTATAACCAACAAGGGCAGGGTTATAGTCAAGATGGCTATGGTGGGTATCAACAGCCTGGGTATGGTCAGCCGCCACCATATGATCAACAGCAAGGTTATACTTCTGCTCCTAACTATACCAATGTAGCTCCAGAAGGACATGCTCCTTCATACGGAGCTCAAGCAGATTCAGCTCAAGGTTCATCTCAACCATCTGCAACGGGACAGCAAGGTTATTCTACTGGCCAGCAGCCTAGCCCAAACCCAGCAAGTTATCCATCTCAGGGAGCTGCTCATCCTGGTTATGGATTGCCCCCATCTTCCCAAGCTGGCTATGGGGGTCAACCACCTGCACAGTATGCAAGCTATGGAGCACCTCAATCACAGAAACCCCCAGCCAATCCACCTGTTTATGGGCAGAGCCAACAGTCACCCAGCACCCCTGGAGGCTATGGCCAGCCTGCTGGACAGCCAGGATATCCACCCTCCCAGCCACCACCATCTGGCTATGTGCAGCAACCAGATTCAGGTTCCCAGCGTGCTGCACCATCCAGTTATGGTGCCACAGGTGCTCAGCCAGGGTATGCTCCTACTTATGGTGCGCCACCAGTTGGCCAACCAGGTTATGGACAGGGTTCTCAACCATACAATGCTTCTTATGGTAGTGGTTATCCACAGCCTGCTGCTTATTCGGCTGATGGCAATGCAGCTAGCAATGCTCGTGGGACATATGAATTAGCACCAGCATCACAGACTGCTTCTCAACAGAGTGGAGTGGCTAAAGCATCACCACAAAGTTGATTTCTGTTGGACGATTCATTTTCTTTCTGGTGAATGATGTTTATGTACAAGTACTTTGGGTGTAGACAGGTTTTGTAGTGCTTTAAGATGCTCTTATTCTGTGTTTTTTTTTTTTTTATTGTACTTTTTAAATTTGTTTCTTCGGATGTTATATTGCTGTGTTGCAAATGCCGTCTACTGTTATTTTCTGGCTGTTTACTTCGAATGTTTCATGGATTGCTGACTCGGGTCATGCGAGCAAAGCTGACTGAAACCTCATAGGACCTATTCCCATTAGTTTTTCCATGTTATGCAATGAGATTCCAGGTTATCATTTTTGTTGCTTGGTGTTTCGTTCTACGTAGTCATGACGTCAAAAGCTCGAGAAAGTTGGGATTCGTACTTAATATAAAAAAAAAAGCGTGCCAAGCGATTGCTCTGGAGTGTAGTTTGTCGTGAGTGATCTGATTCCTCTAACGTGACCATTATCTTCCACGCTCTTTTTCGACAATTTCTGTGATGATAAAGGTCGTATTTGATTGTTATTTTGGAACAGGACAGTTGAGACATGTCTTTATGTTCTGTTTTTATAAGGATATAGATTTACTCTTGTTTTTTAAGCTATTATTTTTATCTTTGCAGCCATACATGTCTATACTTCTATTATTATTGAAAACTAACTAAGAGCAATGTGTGTTTGAAGAATAACCATGGGAAGGACGATAAGTCTGGCGAGTAGGAGAATAAGTTTGTCCTAATTTGCCAGCGAGGAGAGTCTCTTTAAAGTTGTGGGTATGGAGAGTTACTGAACACACTAGGTGAATTCCCGTGCGATGCTGCGGGTTGTAACATGAATAATATAAGAAATGTAAGTCAAAGAGTACCAAATTAATTCAAGAAGATGAATAGGCAAAGAAAATAATGAACCGAAAAACTAGGTTAAAATATGCAACCATATGGAGAATGCTATCATTACGATTTCAATTCAAAAAGGCTGAGCCTTAAACATTTTAAATGCAAATTATGGTTGCAATGCTAGTGAATAAGTGTTTCAAACTGATGTAACGAAACAACCCATGAGGAATAGAAGTGGAACAGTTGCACATGGGTAGAAAAAGAATATGATGCTGGAACTGCGGGAACAACAAGTGTTCTCCACGAAGAACTGCGAGAAAAAAGAGAGGATGAATAAGGCAAGGTGCATTCATTTTAATTTGTTTTCAGGAGTCGAATTCCCATTAATTTGAACAAAAAGGTTATGAATTATCTTGATTATTACAAATGTCAGGCTTTAAAGTACTGGATTTTTATGAAACTTCCAAAATTATTAGTAATTGTCTTTAAGCTCAGTTAAGTTGAAATGTCAATCTTTGATTGAAGTATTGTTACCTTCAGAATTGAAGGAGCAATTGAATTAGGCCCTCTATATGAGAATTGTGCCACCTTCGCCACCACAGGCTTGCACGCAATTGTTTTAGAAGCGCTAACTCGATGACAAGAGATCTGCATATTTACTCTGTTTGCTTCTCATCGCCCAGATTCTACGTGTCCCTCCTGATATAATTAGACTATGTTTGAAATTCCAATATATAAACTGATTTAATGTCACGGATTATCAGCTATACCCTCAGAACTACTATTTTTCTTCAGAAATAAAGCTTACATGGATGGACATCACTCATATGCATTAATAGATAACACAGCAGCCATTGTATTAAGAGAATGCAAGCCCCCATGGCAGCTGTGCAGAAAAATGAAGGCAACCACCTACTTAGTCATTGTCAAAAGATATATCACGCAGGTTAACTCAAGTAGCAACTGCAACTACTCCAAGATGATTGAATCGCAGCCAAACAAAACTAATAATCAATACAGTTTGAGCAAAAAATAAATAAAAATAAACAGAGGCAGAGCTGAACTCACCAAAATGAGTCCTCGAAGGAAACGATAGTAGGGCAAGAATAAAAACTCACAGGCAATGAAACCCTAAAATAAAAGCCAATGTAGGGAACAAACCAAGAGAAAACTAGACTTTTCTGGGAGAGAAAGCAACAAATTAAAACCTAGTCTTCTCTTAAACGATAAAAAAAAAAAAATAGACAACTTGACATGATGGGAAAGCAAGAAATGAGGCAATAGCCATGATGGCTATAGAAAACATGGCAACTCATTCCCAAACAAAATGACTTGGAGTTGCAACATTGTACTCAACAAAAATAAACAGAAGCAAACCAATCAAAACTGAAAATAAGGCACCACCTAACCTCGGCACATGCAGGCTAATCCTAGACAACCCATCTACAGAGAAGATGGAATGGCTAACCCAAAAAACCATGGACACACGGACAACATGTTCAATCAACACCTCCTTCAACACAAAATGACATCCTGCACAAATTGGGAGCGCATTTCATGGGCAATCATTCCATGACAGCAATCAAGCAAAGCCCAAGAGTCGCCCAAGTTCATCAGCAGAAGTTGAACTGAAGGGAATGAAAGTAAGCTAGCCGAGAAGCAGCCGGGAATTATTCTGATGAATAATAGATTGTGTTATTTTCTAGACAAAGTGTTTGCATGCAATCTTATAATCTCTACCTTTTCTTTTTAGCTTCTCAAGAAGAACTGCTGTGGTGAATATAAAATTGTATTCCACAGTATTTCTCCAACCTCTTGTAGGTTTTTAGTTTTTTTTTTTTTAGATTTTTAATTATGGAACAAGAAGCGGACACGGAAGTTTTGCCGAAAGAGGCAACATAATAATCTGATACCGTGGGCGTGGAGAACAGCTTCGATAGGTCACCGGATCTTTTTCGAGTAATTAAGTTTTTGAGGCTTTGATGGATGAATTTGTTGGAGCATCGAGCAAGCGATACACGTGGAAGCAAGTCGAGGCCGAAAAAGTCCTTCAGTGCTTACAATAATAGTTCGCTGGGCTTTGATTCGATGCAAGCTGCCATGCAGCATAGAAAATCTGTCAAGGGCCCAAAATGAAAATTATATAAAAAAGAAAAGTAAGGGAAATAACATATGGCAATAGTATAGTGGTCAATGCAAGACACTGTATCACCTTCACTGCACAGTATTTCCAGCAGATCAACAAAACAATAGTCCAGGGCCCTGGCCAATACAAAACCCTACCCTCTCTTTCTCTATCTCGCTCGCTCTCTCTCTTCCACCCGTCACGAACAGTAGAAAATTTGAGGTATTGGAATTAATCTTAAGAAATTAATGTATTGTCCTATTAAATGTTGCTTTTGATTTGACACAAAGATCTGATTGTATGACATTTAGAAAAGGAATGGCATCGAAGCTAGTGCAGTTGCAATCCAAGGCTGCTCAAGCCTCGCAGTTGGTGGCAAAGCATGGTGTTTCTTATTACAGGCAGTTGCTAGAGCAAAACAAACAATACATCCAGGACCCACCCACTGCTGAGAAATGTAATCTTTTGTCAAAGCAATTGTTTTACACTCGTCTCGCCAGGTTGGTTTTCTTTGTTTAATTTTTTAATTGAATTGAATATTGGTTGACTGCTAATTCTTTGGCTGCGTTTAATAGATTTCGCAATGGCAACAACAACAATAACATGGACTATTTTTATTTTTATTTCGTATTAGGCAGTATAATGGTTAGATTTTGGTTCAAATAACCCGGCTCAATTGGCTGCTTAAAACTTTATTTGGGTTGTTTATGTTGCATTCGGGTCCTGAATTTAGGCTGCCCGGGAGGGATTAATGTCATAATATAAGTAGTTGATTGACATAGAATATTAGTCTTTATAAATTTTGGATATCACGTCGGGTCATTTGTGTGCCCTTTTTTATGCTTGAACTACCTCGTAAGGCAAACTAATTGTAATTGCAACCGAGAAAGAATTCCATTGTTTAGTGGGTCAAGTCTGTTGCCAGTGTTCTTGTTTTTTTGTTTACCTTTTCATTCTATACCAGTCTAGTAAGTCTGTAATTGGGATATTTCATCCTTTCTAGCTGGAATTTGACCTGGTTCCTCATTATTAGCTTCCCTGATTCTGTATGGATTCATTTTGAAGGGACTAGTTAACTAACTAAGAACTTTACAGTGTACATCTGTAAAGACTTTGTCTTTGACAATTCACATTTTTTAGATTTGAAACGATGGAGTTGAGTGGTCCATTGCCGAGTAGTTGGTGGCAGATTGTTCAAGGTTAGAAGCGTTAATGATATCTATATCTCCTGTTAATTCTTGAAATGTGGAGATTTATTAGTCGTGCAATTTAGTCCAGAACTGCTGTTAAACTAGCAAATGGTGTTGCATTGGAGATGAATCTTGAAAGAGTTGATAGAAGGTTGAACCTGTTGGTGATTTGTGAGATCAAAATAGAACTGTTTGATATCATGAAATCAACCATTGAATGGAGAAGCGGACATTTTTCAAAACTTCAACTCTTTCGGCAAGGGGTTGCGCACATTTTCAATTTTTCTCGTAGAATGGTTGTGTAATTGTGTCTCGTCTATTGCCAATTAGGTTATATCTGTTGTCTGGCTGGTACTCATGCACTGTTGTGTTTGGTTTGTGCTTTTATTATTTCTAGATTTAATTGATACATGACTGAATTCCGAGTTTTAGTGCAACATGGAATGTAAAACAATGCTTATTCGTTTTACTCCTCTCATATTAATGTGTTTTTTAATATCTGTACTGATGTTCCTAGTGCAGAAAGTGAGATCGGGAATCACTAAGATAATAGTATTCTGTATCTTTCATTCTTCCTTTTCTTTCATTTATGTTCTAAACACTGAACAAAATACCATGAGAATTGTGACATATAATTTGAGTTTTTAGACAAGTAAATAGTGACTGACAGTTGATTCCATAAATAGTGTTTGCAAACAATATATATGACCCTGAAAAAAAAAATGTTTGGTAGTTTTTAACAGAAAATGTTCTATAAAAAGTAATCAAAATTGCTGCTGTATTTTAACAAGCAAAAACTACGTGTTCCTCTTCAAAAACATCTGTGTTTGCTTAGCTTCTTGCCAATTCTCAGACTATTTCTTGGACATTAATTTCAATATTTTTCATATTAATCCATTCATTTGGGTATGTGAAACAGCATTCCTGGGCGTTATGAAGCCTTCTGGAAGGAGCTTGATTATGCCAAGCAGCTGTGGAAAAACAGGAAGGAATTGAAGGTTGAGGATGCTGGCATTGCTGCTCTGTTTGGGCTGGAGTGCTTTGCATGGTTTTGTGCGGGTGAGATTGTTGGTCGAGGGTTTACATTTACTGGCTACTATGTCTAAGTGCTGTAAGAAGAATGTGCCATTGGAGTTAAACTGATAAATCTTGTTCCTCCATCTTGTTGTCAATTGGCCAAGTATGCATATTAAATTTGCCATCCTGCAAAAAAACTGAGATAGGAAACTCATGTCAGCTATGATTTTCCTTTTTCTTGCATTTTCCCATGGATCGAGAGCTGTCACTTGATCATCTTAGCTTGTGGTGCAATATCTTTTGAGCAGTTTTCTTCAAAAAAATAAAGATTAAAGGAGAGTGGGGAGGGGATGACCCTGAGTCCTCCAACATATACTTGGGAAATTACATAACCTTGGTTTCAGGATTAGTGCCATTTACTGGAAAAGCAGTTTTGGTCAAAACTTGGCTATATGGTTGGCAGAGCCAACCGATTTATAACAATCGTCACGAGTACCTGAAGCTTATCGGTTATACGAGCTTCCAAACTGTCATTATCCACCTTATTTTCTTCACTTTTAATTGTTGAACCTTCTTCACAACCAACCCTTCTAGATAATGTATTTGCTACAGAACTCTCTTTACCTTTCCCGTATAACATTTGATGCGTGAATTCTATTATTTTAGTTAACTCTTTTTAATGTATTGGAGTATGAATCTTTTTTTATAAAATATGTTTTAAACTCCCAAGATTAATTCTAATCAAGAATTGATCATCCTCCAATTATCATCAATATGGTTATGTACTTCTTTTTAATAAATTGATAATCCTAAATATCTTGTACTTAATGCCTTGCTAAATATGGTTAATGGCCTCCCTTCTTATCTTAAGATTGCACCCAATCCATTCACATAAATATCAATTTGCACACAAAGTACTTTTTTAGCTTGTTAAAATCTTCTTGGGCCTATCCAATTGAAGCTATGATTCATCAATAGAACGGATAATGGTGGATAATGGTTTACTGATAATACCAAGTGCCTTGATGAACTTTTTGTAATATGATATTGAACCCAGTAAGCCTTTTAATTCTTTAGCTGTACGAGGAATTGGCTAATTCTTAATGGCTTCTATTTTCTTTGGATAAGTTGCTATTATTAGTTCAACATGTCTCCTAACTAATTAGTTGATTATATATAATAGTATTATATTTATATAAATACATATTTATAATCAATAAAAGCTTAACTTATTTTTAATATCCATGATTGATATTTTCTTAAATACTAGACATTCATCTGAGTAATAAAAAATAATACATATTATATTTTTTTATTTATGAGAGGAAGTAGTTGTTTATGAAAAGGTTCATGTGACGGTTGTTTAAATGATTTTTAAATTTGAAACTATGAAGTTATTTTATATACAAAATATTATACTTTGATCTTGATATATGTTGTCTTAATCAAGATAATGAGATGATAGATATTATGTATAACATGAATTATATGAAATTACTTGAGTGATTAAAAGATGATTTATCATCCTATATGAATTAGGGAAAATATCTTATATATTCTCAAGTGATATTAACTGAGAAATCCTTAGCTAAAATAAAATTTGAAAAGAGTTTAAAATATTATTCAAATAATGAATGACTATTACGTAGATAATAAATATGATTTAATATGATAAACATATTTCATGATTTTCATAAAACATTATTCAAACAATCAATGATTATAATTTAAAACTATATATTAATATGTCATAAAAAAAAATCCAATACAAGTCTTCTGAACAAAGTTTTTGCTTATTATTCCTTGAAATGTGATCGGTGTATTAATTAAATAAAAGGAAATTATCTTAAATGACCATGATAAGTTTTTAAAGTTATATTTTTTTATATAATTTTGACTTAATAATATCAAAACCAGCTTAGATAATAATCGAGAATCATAGAATTCATCCATCAAAACATTAGTCAAATAAGAAATTTGTTCTTAATAGAAAAGCTAATCAATTGATTATACTCAGCACATAATCTTCAAGTCTTGTTTTTCTTTTTAACCAATAGAGAAAAATTGTCCTATAAAACTATGCAGTATTTATTTTAAACTTTATCTTGATTGCTGTGATCATTTACAATCTTGTTTTTTCCACAATCATTTCAATTTAATTATTCTGTTATTTTTCTTGAATGACAATTTTAGTTTAATGAAATCAAATATAATTGATAAATAAATTGTCAATCAATATATTCTAAGCACCACAATATACTTTTCAAAATAAAATTATGCTATTTTGTTGAAAACAAATTTCTTATATATTAATTCACTATTTATTTTATTTTTATGTGTTAATTGTCAAATTTGTCCAATATTCAAAACCTGATCACGTCAGGTTCGGATATAGATAGTATCCGTGAATATCCGTTGACATGTACACGTGCCGACCCAAACACAGAACTTAAAACCCTACTGCTCTCTGTTTCCGGCTTGCTCTCTGTCTCATCACCAACAGAAGAGATAGAGAGAGAGGTATGAAACTTAGCGCTCTATAATCTGCAATGGTTTTCTTTAATACTTTCATTTCATTTTGATTTTGTATTCCTCTCTCAAATCAAATCAAATCAAATCTTGCTCCTAGATATTCCTACTTG